TTGCGGAGCACAGGCTCCGGACGCGCAGGCTCAGCGGCCATGGCTCACAGGGACCAGCCGCTCTGCGGCATGTGGGATCTTCCCGGACCAGGGCACGAACCCGGGTCCCCTGCATCGGCAGGCGGACTCTCAACCACTGTGCCACCAGGGAAGCCCCATTTTCACGTTTAAAAGGGGCCCTTAAATGCTCTACTCTTCCAGCTCCTCTTGGGTTGACAGAACGGGGTGACCTCGACCACAGAGCCTGGCACTGGGAACACAGAAGTGGCACCAGCCCTGGGTCTCTGAGCAGGTTCTTAACCTCCCTGTGCCTCAGTGTCCTCATCTGTAAAGTGGTGTCCTCAATGTACTCCCTCCAAAGGCCATGCTGAGGGTAGAGTGAGTGAGCTGCACCTGTGCAGGGCTCAGAGCAGTGCCCAGCTCACAGCGAGCACCCAGCAAGGGTGAGTGCTTAGCACCATCCTGAGAGGATGGCATCTGGCCAGAGACTGCGGCCAAGTCTGAGGTGACAGCGCAGTGGGCCTTGCTGGCTGCCTCCTGGGACTCTGTCCCCCAACTCCACCCTACTCCTGGTTTTGTCAGGGATCTACCCAGTATCCGCAGCCCATTTGGAAGGTGGTCCTGGAGTCGTGCATGACAATGGCCTGCCACCCCATCCCATGAGCCGTGCACCCTGGAAGCTGACCCCATTCACTGCTGAGAAACCATGTTTCCAACTACGTGAGTGTGCCTTCGTGCACGGGAACTAGACCATGATACCTTAGGTAAGATGTGTTTCTGACTGTACACCATGGTTAAAAATGTTTGAAAAACAATCTCTTCCTCCTTGCCAGTGACTGATTCAAGAATAGACAAGTAACCAATTCTGGCCAGTGGAGCCTCAAAGAGGCGTGTCCCCGGTGGCTTCTGGGAATGTTTTCCCTTGCTCATGAGAGCAACAGGTAGCCCATCTCTCCCCGGCTGGTTGTTGCAAGGCAGGTGTTGCTCCAGCTAGCTGCTGGCCACCATCCTGTGACCACCAGGAACTCCAGCCGGCCAACAACATCCACACAGGGCAGGACCATGAGAATCACAGAGCAATGGAATCAGAGCCCTTACTGTTGTGTGCCTGGACTTCCATTCATGGAAACCCATCAGGTCCTTCCCTGCAAAGCCCCGCGGGGAGGGGAGGGGTCGGGTCCTAGGGCTTGCTCCCCAAAGCACCATCTCTGCAGAGGAGCGGGACCATGCTTCTGTACCTCTTGTCTGCACTCTGCCTTAATAAGCTGACGGCGAGGGATGTGGATGGCGCCCCACCTCCCGCGATCCTGGGGCTGAACTGCCCCCCCGCCCCACATGACTGACTCGAGGCTCTGGGCCTCCTTCCGCGGCACTGTCTGACCCGGGTCTCACCGGCTCTGTGGCGGGATCAGGGTGTCACGCACGTGTAGGATGCCCACGTATGGGTAGCGCTCCATGTCCTGCTCCCAGTCCACGTAGTGGTCCTGGACCACATCTGCAGGACAGAGGGCACCATTCAGGGTGAGGACCGCCCGGCGGGAGCCAGCAGCCCTCGCGGGGGCCACACGCACCTATAACCTTCTTCACCATCTCATACATGGCCTGCTCTTCCTCTTCCAACTTCCGCCACCGGTATTTCAGGAGGATCAGGAGCCCCCACAGAAAGGCCAAGCCTGGGAGGGAACAGAGCACTGTTAATCGTGCATATCACCTTCCCCGGCCAGGCGCCCACTGGCTGTCTCACTAGGGCAGGTCACTGCGCTGGAGGCTGAGGGGGTTCTGAGTACCTACTGTGTGTCAGACCCAGGGCTAGCAAGCAGGAAACGAAGGACTGGGAAACGCAGAGGGAGGACAGGCTATTAAGTGATCATCTTCCTCCCGCCGGCTGTCACCACAGAGGCCTCCCCAGCCGTCTGGATCTCGGCTCCTCCCAACCTCATTCTGGGCTTTCATCTCCTCCCTTGTGAACCAGAACACGGCGTTTCATACATATATACATGCCGGGCCCTTTGTATTCCAGATGCTGCTGCCGATAATGATGTCTGTGCCTGCCGGTGTGGGGGAGGGAGCCGTGTGCACGCCCAGACGGCCTGTGATTCATAACCCAGCTCTCTCTGCAGAGCTGGTGGTTTCTGTGTCGCGGCCTTTGGCCTTCAGAGACACCCCGAGGCCTCTGCTCAAAGGCAGCCCCTCATGTCGGGAGACTCTGCTTTGCCGCTCAGCACCCTGGGCCCTGCCTGCTTTCACTGGGCGTCTGTAGCTCCTGAGGAGGTGCTTACATTGTTCAGGGAGTAAAATTAGGTCAAGCTCCTGCTGGGTCTCCCCCTCGGAGCGGCCTGCGGTCTGGGGTGCCGGAAAGGACAATGCCCACTTCCAGCCCAAGCCAGCACCCTCTCGGGGATGCTGATGGCCCCCGGCCCCAAATCCAGGATGTCTTCTAGTTATCTTCCTGCTCCAGCCACCCAGTCTCCAAAGGGAAAGACGACCCGGGGCAGAGGCTGACTTGTTCATCTCCTCAGTTTCGTTAGACAGACCTCAGGTTCACTAGACAGAAACGAACTCCGAGCGACTGCATCACCCATGCCCAGAAGTGTTGCTGAGCTGGGCTTCCGGGAGGCGCGGTGGGAGGGGCAGGGTGACTTGGTGACACGGTGACGGTGACGGGACTTACACCAGAAGAAGATGAGCACATTGGTGACTGCCGTGAGCAGGGCGCGGCTCAGGCGGCAGCCGACACCCATGCGGGGGCGGGCGGACTCCAGGCAGACCACCTTGTCCACCGTGGTCACCAGCTCAGACGGGTCTTCCCCTTTCAACCTGCAACAGGACACAGGACACGTTCAACAGCTCTGATGAGCCGCTGTATAAGCCTCACTATCAGCAGAAGGAGGAGGAAGGCGGGGCTTTCAGGTCTCCACTTGCTTATAAAAAGGACTCGCTATCCTGGTTGCCCTCTTTCCAGAAATTTCCCACGTTGGCTACTTAGAAAGAATAAAACTTTAAAGACGGCAGCAGGCTTGAACCCCTGCCACTGAAGTGACGCCTCCCTCTGCTGGGCGGAAGATTAAAGTGTAAATTGGATGCCCCCCTCCCAGCACAGAGAAATGGAAATGTTTACGGAATCACCGGCTTTGTGCAGCCCGGCAAGAATGGAAACAGAGTCTGGGAGGGGGTGCCTTTCCTCGGTGATGAGGAGGCACATAAGCTGTTTACATGCAGAGACCATGGGGTGCCGCGAGACTCAGGAGCACGAACACCGCCAGGCTCCTGGAGGCCAGACCCCAGCCCCAGCGAGGGGGCATCAGGACGCACGGGGACGCTGCCGACACTCCACCTTCTGCCAGTGAGGCAACAAGCTCCCGGTCTGGATTGCACAGCCGAATGGCTGGTGCCCGAACTGTCCGGATTTCTCATGACCCACTTTTTGCTTTAATTGAAGTATAGTTGATTTACAACGTTGTGTTAATTTCTGCTGTGCAGCAAAGTCTCACGACCCACTTCTAACACTGGTCGTGGGAGCCAGGCTCAGCTCCCCACAGGCTACCCTCCTCAATGTGAAAAGGCAGTGTCATCATTCCTCTGCATTAGCAGCTTCAGTGCGCGCTGCCAAGGATAAAATCCATGTTTTCTGCCTTTCCAACACACAGGAAAATCGCTCAGCCACTCAGGGAAGTTTCATTTTTTTTTTAAGCCAACGAATTTTAATCGTGCCATGCATCCAGTTATCAAGTTTTAGGCTGAGCTGCCCGAGGGGCTTCTGCTGGATGCACTGCTGATGGAATCAGTAATTTGGGTAGATTAGAGAGGAAGAGAACAAAACCCTAGAGTGTGCTTTAATATCAGCAGCTGTAACCTGAACAGAGACCCCGACAAACCCTGAAGGGTGGGAGGGGGCGATGAAGCGAGTGTCTCTCCAGCAGGGGACTCCGGTATCAGGCAGTGGCTGGTGCCTGCCCACCCCTGGGCTGAGCAGCCAGCTAGGGCCTTTCAGGAGGGTGAAGGGCACGCTGTCTCTGCTAACCGTGCTCACCGGAGACAGAAACAGGTGGAACTGCCCAGCTGGAATAAAACCCAGTCTTTCCCTTTGCAATTTCCATACTGAGTGAAACCAACATACAGAATCATTTCATCTACAAATGAAAACTAGCACCAAGGAAAGGAAGTGCAAAACAATGCCATCTCCAGCAAACTGTGCGGGGCCCGTGAAGGAAAGGGGCACAGACTGAGTTACCTGAAACAGGTTTAGCTGGACTGCCAGGCGATCACCCTGACGCCTGGATTTTTGTGTCTCATTTTGAAACTGCTCCTTACACTGCATTTCTAATGCCTCTCCTTCTGCTGCCCAGCTTCAGGCCTGGCCCAAGACGACTTGGCTGGGAGACCTGCCCTCTACCTCCTGGCCTGAGACACCTTGATGGGTGATGACAGGGCCTCAGGTGCTTCCGGACGCCCCGCCCACACTCACCAGATGCCCACGTCCTTGTTACTGCTCAGTATCCAGGTCAGTGCGGCTTCAAACTTGGCGGAGGAGCTGCTGGTCACATTCTGTGGGAGGGGGCGGGAGATTAGTCCTCCATCTGGGCGGAGCAGTTGGAGCGATATTATTCTGCTGCTAGATTAAGGAAGGCCTCTCCATGTCCTCCGCCTGCCCCAAAGCCCTGTTCTGCTAAATGCCCAGCAAACTGGCAGGAAGGAAGTCTGTAGCTGATGATACCAGGAGAGAGGCTATAACCAGAGGAGGTGATGCGGAAGCACACGCAGGAAAACAATGCAGGTGTGAGACAGCAGAAGCATGTAATTTTCTCAAGGACTGAAGCACCAGGCCAGAGAGCTGGCAGCTCATCTGCAGTGAGGTGAAAGAGT